ATGGCATACTGAAGGTTGTAGGTTAATTTTGACTTGTTGGTAGGTTGTATACTCATATTTTTAGTAGCTTAGTAGTTAGTACTATAAGTATGTAGTAGGTAGTACTAGTAGTATAAATTAACTAAATAAAAATTTGGTCTTTGGCAACAACGTATTGTTAAATCATTGAAAAAGATATATCTATCAAGTAAGTGTTAGTATTTTATCTATGCTAGTTGGTATAACTGTCCAATTATCAGTGTTGTGTTTTAGCAACACTGGACACAAGGTATATTATTAGTACATAAAATCATTTTTGTTCTAGAAGGTGAAAATAAGATGTCAAATCAAGTTGGCTCGATCAGTTTCGGTGGTACTAGTAGGTAATAAATAATAGTCGTCCTAAAAATTTTTTTACAAATCAAGGGCATATAAAATTATGTCCATACTAGAAGCATCGAACCTTATGGAGTCGGCTTCCAGTGCATATATTTTGCTAGCACCTCCTGACTCTACTGAACTGACTGATAAGGATAGTGGAGATGACTGTGGAGAAACTTTCAATAACCTAAACAAAAATATATTGTTATTGTTCTGAAGCTATTTTCTTGTGGCACTTTAAATTAATTACTATTTAACTGGGAATAAGCCACAATTAAAGATAAAAATACGTTTATTGACGTTTCAATTTCCACTTCGGAAATCATTCTTAAAATACAAACAGTGAATTAAACAAATTTTGTTTTTTGTTTCATAGTGAAAAATTCTTCTAATAATTTAATTTTATCTGACTTATTTATATTGACAACTCAGACATACATTATGCATTTAAAAGTAGATGACTTTGAAATGATATTGCCAATATTGTTGAGTTGCGCTCCTGGGACGACTTTACTTATAAGATAGTTCAATCGATTACATGAAATCAACTTTAACTTGAGAATATTTGTCAGAAAAAAAAAATCATAGCATGTAATTCGTCTTTAAAAAGACAAACACATGACATGATGACAGTAAAATTCTCCTGTTAGTGATTCGACAGTAAATTATGAGGGAAAAACCAGGAAAAAAACCTCATAATACTATTCCGACATGGTAAGTATTTGTTCGTGCATTTAGTTTACCTTCAATAAACACCAAAATTCTGATTTTATATGTTTCTTTATTTAAAGAACATAAATGACGTATCCTCTATATATTATTGACTTAATAATACTGGTATTTTCTTATTAATAGCTTCCTCTTTCAATATTGGTAACCAGATCCTACTACATTCTGCCGAGGAATTTGCGACACAATTGGCCTCATTTAGCATAATTAGAGCCGCTTCTTTGATTTTTTTTTACCATCCGTTTCTTTTAGGACTACATTTGAATTATTCCATTGAACCCTATGTTCATTATCCCATGCGTGTTTACATATTTGAGATCTATCAAATTCTTTATTTTTAATATAAGATTGATGTTCACTTATTCTAACATTTAATGGCCTTGACGTTTCACCTAAATTAAACTAATCGCATTCACAAGGTATTTTACAAATGCAATTCTTTGTCCTTTCTTGTTCATTGTTAGGTTTGGTTTTGGACAAAATAGATCTCAACGTGTTTGTTGTTTTGAATGTTGTTGAAATGTTGAATTTATTTCCTATCCTTTTAAGTTTTTCTAATAATCCTTTTTTGTACGGTATTGTTATTTTCCTCGTATTATTTCTTTTGTATGCTGTATGATCTCGTTCTAAGGTGATCTGTTCTATTCGATCGATTGTTGAAAGTTCCTTATTTATAAACGATAAAGGATAATAATTTTTTAATAAAACAGATGTTAACAAATGTTTCTTCTCCAAGAACGAATTTTTTTTAGAACAAGTAATTTTGGCTCTATCGTATAAGGATTTAATTATTCCCTTTTTTACATTAATAATGTGATTTGATTTGAAATTTAAATATCTATTGGTGTGTGTTGGTTTTCTATAGTCCTGAGTCTCATATCCAGTATCGTTCTTAGAGATTAAAACATCCAGGAAAGGTAGCGTGTAGTAATGTTATTGTCTCCTCTTTATCATTTATATCATTTAGGAATGTGTCCAACAACTCTGATCCATGAGGCCATATTGAGAATACATCATCTACATACTTCCACCATACTGTGGGTTTTAAATTTTGTTTAGAAATGATATTTGTTTCATGAGGTAACAGTATGCAACCTTGCCTGACCCCTCTCCGTATCTTCACTTCTTCTGACACTTTTCTTCCAATTTTCACATTTGATCGTTGGCTGTAGTATAAATTTGATATCAATGTTACATAACTGACATCCAGATTCTTGTTTTTGAGTACTTCTATAGGTCGGTCATGTTTTACTTTATCGAATGCCTTGTTGTAGTCTATAAAGCGTACATAAAGATCTCTATTAACATCAAAACATCTTTAAGTCAGCACATTAAAAGAAAATAGTGCCTCTCTTGTGACCATTCCATTCCGAAATCCAAACTGGGAATCAGTAATATCCATCTCCAGCTTAGCGTGTATTCTAATATGGATGATCTTTAGTAGAGTTTTTAAGGTATGTGACATTAAACTGATCGTTCGATAATAGCTACATTTTTTGGCATTTACTTTCTTTGGTAGACAAATAAATGTTGATGTCAGCATTTCACGTGGAATGATTCCTGTGGAATATATTGTGTTTAGTAGTTGAACTAAAAGATCTGTTTTTTTCATTGACCAGTTTTAGCAATTCACTTGGTAATTCATCTGGAACAGCAGCTTTATTATTTTTCATGAACTTTACTGCATGCATAACTTCCGACTTTGTTATTTCGGGTCCCTCGTATTTACTCTGATTTTCTTTATATATATTTTTCTGTCTCTGGTCATGGAATAATTCCTCTATATATTCTTTCTATCTTCGTAATTTTTGTTTCGTCTTCACTAAAATGTTTCCTTGTTTGTGCAATAGTATGCTTGATATTTTTTATTTTGCTACCCCAGCTAATTCTTTAACTTTCTTATGGAGATTGAAGTTATCATATTTGTTTTGTAAGTCTTCTATTTCTTGGCATTTTCCAGCGAAATAAGTCTCTTTAGCTTCTCTTGTTTTCCTTCTGATTTAATTATGCAGCTGTTGAATTCGAGTTATGTTGATATTCTTTTGCCTTCTTTTGTCCTTTATAATTTCCAAGATTTCTTCTGTCATCCAATCTTCATTCTTGAGTCTGGTTGTTGTGAGTTCTCTGCGACTTGGTTCGATAATTGCATTTTTAAAGAATTGCCACTGTTGTTCTACATCACTATCAATTGATTCCGGTGTGGATTTTAGGTTTGCATTAATTTCTTGTTCTAGTTTTTTTTTTGACGTCTCTTGATTTTAATTTTTGTATGTTTAGTTTATCACTTTTGTAGCTTCTTTGCATTTTTTTAATGAAGTTGGACTTTTGCTACAAGAGGATTGTGATCTGACTCTACATCTGCACCTGGGTACGCTTTCACCGATTGTATTGCGTTTCGGTATCTGTGGTTTAATAAAATATAGTCAATTTGGTTTCTAACGATTTTATCGACCTTGTTAGCTGGCGATTTTCAAGTGTAAAGGCGTCATTTAGGCTATTTGAAGAAAGTATTCATTACCGCAAGATTATGTCCTAGATAGAATTCTATAAGGCGTTTTCCTTTCTCATTTCGAACACAGAGTCCATATGGTCCTCCACTAAACACACATCTTGCTTCTCCAACTTTGGCGTTAAAATCACCCATAACTACTGTTATATTTCTAGATGCTGTATTTTGTAGGATTTTTTGAAGGTCATAGGTTTGAAGGTTAATTTCTTCCTCTATTTTATCGGCGGTTGGCGCATAAATCTGAATAAGGTTTAATTTCCTATGAAATTAAACACTGGCAACACTGAAAGTGACGGAAATGGATTTTTGGAGAAGAGCCGCGAGAAGATCTAGAAGAGAAAGGATTACCAACGAACGCATTAGAGAAATAATGGGAATCAAACGAACAATCACAGATAATCTAATAACAAAACAACTTATCTGGTGCGGACAACTACAAAAAATAGCAAAAGAAATATTAAAATGGCAACCAGAAGGAAAGAGAAAACGATGTAGACCGAGAAAAAGTTGGAGCGAAGGAGTAAGTAAAGAACTGAGAGAGAGAGAGCCATAGACGAAGACCTATGGAACAACCTGACTAAGTGGCGATTGGAAATCGGAAACCGGCGAAGAACGTTATAAACCGACAAGTAGTAGTAGTACCAATTATTTTAGATTTTTCAAAGCAAAGGACCACCCAGGAAAATATTTTTCCGAAAAAACACATTTTTTACGATAAGAGACCCCAGGGGCTACCTAGGCAGCTAAAAACTTGGCTTAAGGGGATTCTAAAGATGTACTTTCTATCTGGAATTAAAATCCATCCGAGTGAAGATTCTACCATCTAATCCCACTATAGCCTTTGTTAGGAATAACAGTTCTTTGTAACATAAGTAGCTTGTAAAATATGTATACCATATATGGTGATTAATTTGTAAGTTATAAAATCACGTTATTGATTCAATTTACAGTCAACTGTATCTATAAAAACCAAAAACTATTAATTAAGGGTAATTCTTCTTCTTCTTGTGCCACTCCTATTGGAGATTGCAAATCATCAAGGCTATCCTGATCTTGTTTACAGCTGACCTAAAGAGTTCATTAGTGCTACAGCCAAATCACTCTCTCAAATTACGCAACCATGACATTCTTCTATGGCCTGGATTCCATTTTTCTTTTATTTTTCCTTGTATTATATTTTGAAGTATTGCGTATTTATGTCCTCTCATCAGGTGACCCAAAAATTCGAGTTATTTTCGTTTGATCGTTGACAAAAGTTCTGAGTCTTTTGCTACCTTCCGCATTATTTCAAAGTTTGTGACTGTTTCAACCCAATTTATCTTCAGTATTCGACGGTAGCATCACATCTCGTAAATTAAGGGTAATAAAGAAGGTACAAAAATCTTTTACTTTATATTAAAATTTAATAAACATTGTACGGTTTGGACATATATGTATTCAAAATATTTTTCCAAGATTCATACTTTCTGGGATGTGCTAGAACTTCCAACGTGGTATTTATATTCAAGTAGTCCAAATTTTCAGTAGTTTTGGGCCAATGCATTAACATATCATCATACTCAGGAGTGGGATTCCTAAAAAATAAACTCCAAAATTATTATCTGCATATACGATACGATCTTTAATATACTGGGTATGCCAAGATAAGCGGGTCGGTAAAATATTTCCCGAAATTTATATCGGATCAAAAAACTAAAAAACACGCGTTAAATATTTTTCAAAAATCTATCGAATGTTACCAAGCACGACTCCCATACCCAAAATTAGGGGGTCGGGTGGTAGTCGACTTGTAAATCTTAAGTTCTACTTGAATTGTATAGTCTGATTTAGACTATGCTATAAAATAATATAAAAAAATGGTATACAAAGTTTTCGTACAATGTAAAACAAAAACTAAAATAAGATAACAAAAATGATATACAAATTACAACATGTCCAATTTCAAACCAATTATTAGTACACGCGCATAAACAGTTAGGCTATTTTCGTTATATCGCAACATTAGTTTTTTAAGGCTAACTTCTTTTTGTTTTGATCTAAAAGTTGTCTTTTGTATTTACATTAAACTATATAATTAATAAAAACATCTAGGTCAACGGCAAATATAAATCATTTAATAGAAGGATATGAATATCCGTGTGTATTTATGTTAAATACAAATATTACTATACTAAACAGAAGAGAAATGTGATACTAAATCAGTTAACCCTTTCGAGACGATTTTTTTAACGGATTTTAAAACCAAATTTTTGTGGTTCTTTTATTTTTGTATATACAAATATACTCTTTTTTGACAAAACATGTTAATAAAAAACGTTAGGGTGTTGGTGGGGGTGATGGTATATATACGTACCGTTAGTGTTGTCTAATGGTACGTATGTGTACCAACAGTCCTACATAAAAATAATATTAATATATTTTTATTACTTTATTACTCAAAAATATAAAACAATTACTCAAAAATACAAAATATTATTGACGGTGATATACTGTGAAACACTTTTTACATAAAGGAATGTCACATTCTTCGTAAATGGTTTTTGTACGTGTTCTTGTACGTGTCATCTTGTTTTTCTTTCAATTGGAAGATGTAATGACACTTTCGAAACGTTTTCTTTTTATAGATATTCTTCACTTCTTAGATAAACGTCGTATAGCAGCTATTTGTCCTTCAGCAATCATTTCTTCTGCCAGAGGTACCAAAAATTGTATCAGAGAAATTTTTTTCTTATTTTTTTTTTATTACAAATAATCCATGAGTATACAACTGACATAAGTAAACGATGGAATACCTTTTTCCACCATTTGTTTGATTTACGATCTAAATCGTACAATCCTACCATTTGGTCCGCTAGATCTACATAACCCATAATTTTCCTGTAGCGCGCCATCATTTTTGGACAAGGCACATTTACTTTATCTTTTTTTATTTTTGATCTATTTTATCTTTTATTTTTGGTAAGTTTTTTTTATTCTGGTTATAGGTACATATTGATGCGTACTGTAGATTTTCCAACAGACAAACCGAAGTAAAAAAGCGATCAAAGCAAAAGGTTATATTCTCTTTTTTCTCTGTTGTGGAAATAAGTTTGTTCACTACACGTTCCCTAAGAGTTCCTTCTACATATTTAGTTTCACGACCTGTGTAAATGTTGAAGTCATAGGTACATCCAGTAAATGAGTCAGACCTAAGCCACATTTTGATTCCCCTTTTTACTGGTTTTAGCTGCATATACTGCTTGAGTGATGATCGACCTTTGAATTTCGTCATGGGATCGTCGATACTTTAAAAACTGCTGTCTTGTCGATATTTTTGAAAGGTATCTTTCAAGCATTGTACAACGTCATCAATGTAATACGTTTTTGAAGATTTTGTTCGTTTTCTTTGTGATGCAAAATACATTTTTGAAGATATAACTTTGAATCTGTCACGGGATATTACCTTTTAAATCTAGACGTTTGAAAGATGTTTTGACCAATAATTACTGATTTTTGGTACACGGTTGTAGCACATAACTAGCATGCAAAGCAGTATTTGAATTTCGCCCAAGTCAGTTTCTTTCAGACGAGCGTTTTTTCTTAGCTGCTTCTTACATATTTCAATCCTTTCATTAGTACATTGAGCAATACACGTGTACAAAGAACGTGGAAACAACTTTTTGAAATATTGGTATGACGACAAGTTAGATCCAGTGTACAACAAAGTTGACTTGAAATTTGTTTTTTTGAAGCAAAACATTTATTGGGTGTTGACCACAACACAAAAGAACTACTAGGTATGGCAGTTATTTCTAAAGTATCCTGTGTATCTCGAAATTCTAACTGGCTCTCTGATTCTTATTCTTCATCAGAAGTTTCGTGAAAGTTATCTTTCCAGTCCTCGTTTGATTCCGATTCATCATCAGAAGGTTTATACATCTCATGACTACTTCCAGACTCGAAAAATTCTGTATAATATTTAAATTCTTGTGTAAGTGGCCTTTTCTTATCCATATCTAAAAATGACATTCTTCTTTGGGTGCCGTCTTCAATGAAGGTTGGCGATAACCTCAGCAAAATCATTTCTGTGCCTAGCTTTTCTTATTAAAGATTGAGAATCCAAACCAGTCAACTCACGAATGTTTTTCAACCAGGACGCCTGCCGTCTACAAGGACCACGTTTTCCTTCTACCTTCCCCTCTATAAGAAGCTGCAGTAGCTGGCATTTCTCATTTCTGTATATGTGTCCCAAATATGAGGTTTTCCATGTTTTCATTATTTTTAAGAGTTCTCTGTCGGTACCCATCTTGTCTAGGACCTGCTCGTTGCTCATATGCGCTGTCCAGGGGACTTTCAGCATCCTTCGAAATAACCACATTTCAAAAATTTCCAAACGCCTGAGTGAGTTGATTTTGAAGGTCCAGGCCTCCATTCCATATAGTAAGGTGCTGTAAACGTAAAATTTCAGCATTCGGTATCGGATTTTGAGATTGAGTGTTTGGGACGTAAACATTTGTTTCATTTTTAAAAAGACATTTCTTGCTTGTTCAATTCGCGATTTTATTTCTATGTCTGGAACAATATCTTTCGTTATCCAGCACCCTAGATATCGAAATTTCTCGACAAATTTTCGATAATGTTACCATTCACGTTTAAAGCCATGGGTGGATGGATGGATGTTTTGGAGACAATCATTGTTTTTGTTTTCTTGACGTTAATGCTGAGGCCGTATTGTTCTCCGATCGATCTGACGCGGTCTAAGAGTGTCTGGAGATCCTGTGCGCTCTCTACAATTAGGACCGTGTCGTCGGCGTATCGTACATTATTTAGAACTCTGCCGTTAATTTTAACACCTTCTCTTGATTGCTCTAGTGCTCGTGCAAAGATTTCTTCCGAATATATATTAAATATTTGCATGAATATTCCGCTTGATATTGAATATTTCTGTGTCACCGGCTTCTGTTCTAACTGCTGCAGTTTGGTTAAAATACAGCGTTTGGATAATTTTAAAATCGTTCTCGTCTAGTACCTTTTTGTGAAGGCAAACCATCAGCTTCTCATGTTTTACTTGGTCGAAGGCCTTTTGATAGTCAATGAAACATAAAAAGAGGTCCTTTTTTTGGTCTCGACATTTTTGCAGCAGTATAATAAAACTGGTTAATGCTTCCCGTGTCCCAAATCCATTTCGGAAGCCAAATTGTTCATCATTGATATCCTGTTCACATTTCTTATAAATGCGTTGGTGAATAACTTTCAAGAATAACTTTAACATATGCGACTAATAAGTCTGAAATCACCACATTTCTTTGCTCCCTTAGTTTTTGGAAGGGGAATAAAGACTGATTTTAACCAGTCTAGTGGAATTTCACCGCTAGTATATATTTGATTAAATAATTTGACGATTATATTTAAATGTTTTCCTTCCAGTAGCTTTATGACTTCCGTATGTATGTCATCGGGGCCAGGGGCTTTCCCATTTTTTGCGTTTTTGATTGCTCTCTCTACTTCTTGTTTTAATATAGGAGGACTGGTTTCATGGTTTTTATATATTATGTTGTTTAGTGGTGTGTCCGAGAATAGTTTTTCTATGTAATGTCCCCATACGTTGTTTAGCTCGCTTAATTCCCATATCGTTTCATTCTCGTCGTTTGTTAATCTACAAGGGAGTCTTTGTTTTGTCATTCCAGCTAGATCTTTTATTTTTTTGTGAAGCGTTTGACTGTCGTGTTTCTTTATTAATTCTTCGATCTCTTGGCAGTTTTCTATCATACAATTTTCTTTTGCGGTAGCTATTTCTTTCTTGATTTGACGATGTATCTCCCTATATTTTTCATTATTTTTATTTTTGTAGGCTCTTCGAGTATCCATCATTCCCAGAATTTTTTGTGTCATCCAGGGTTTAGATTTTCTTTTGTTATTAGTGTCTTTTATATATTTCTCGGCGCTAGTAAAAGCATTCTTGACTTCAGTCCATAAGCCTTCTGTAGTTGGTGATAATTCTCTTTGGAGTCTTTCACATTCCTCGTTGAGTTTAGTCTTTACCATACTTTGTATATTTTCTTGTTTAAGTAAATTGATGTCGGTTTTTATTTTGACATGAAAAATGACATGAATAAGACTAATGGTACACTTACATACCGTACTATAAGACTATTGGTTCTTATTAGTACCATAGACTTTATAAACAGTCAAATGTTTATTTTACTATAAATAAATAACAATCTAAATATACTTACGATGAAAAGACACAAAAATATTAGTATAATGTAAAACCTTAGTATAATGTATAATAGTGAATTAAATTGGTTCCAGTTTTATTGTTAAAAGTTACTAGCTCGTTAACAGAGTAAATGATTCTTATTAATTAAAACCTAGGTACTTACTGATATTTAATGAAATTGGTATATAATTTTAAAAATCTTTTCTGCGTCAAATAATCTGCAGGATATGTAATATTTAAGGCGTTGTAAAAAATTAACGGCAAATCTGACGTATGTGCAGTAACTTCTTTTCCTTGAACTAAAAAAAATATTAGTAAATAAATTGTACGAAGTAATAATTTCCTAAGAAGTTTGATCGATATTCGATAGTTTTAAAAAATACATTATTAAACAATATAATTAAAAAATATATTAGGTAGCCTTTATACCCGAAGATTGATATAATCGAATATGAACATATAAAACTAAAATATATAAGTAAATACATAGACTAGTAAATTCTAAAAAACCGTCAAAAAAGATTTGAAGTAATCAAAAATAAAGAAAATATTTTATAACGTGAAATGACAATAAAACCATAGATAAAATACTAGAAAATATCGGTTTATAGAACTAAAATGTATAAATCAAAGCACTAAAACACAAAGAACTAAAATATATATTGCCTTCAGATTAAATTAATTAAAAATTAAAATAATCAGGGAATTCGAAGACAAGATACTATAAGAACAAAACTATTTAACTAACCTCTCGAATTTATGGTCTCTCATGATGCTACAACCCTAAGGGTTTTCGGACGTCTAAAGCCCATATGCGCAATTTTGCTCTTTCTCTTTCTTCTAGGTTTTCTAGTTAGCAGTATCGAATTATATAAAAGTCAAGTTATTCTAGAGCTCATCGAACAACCAATACAAAAGGTACATAATGTAGGATCGAAGGATATATTAGATATATCACGAGAGGAAATTCAACATGCCCTTAAAAATATGAAAAATAATAGAGCTCCGGGGGAAGATGGTGTAGTCATTGAGACAATTAAACTAGGAGGTCAACTTTTGATGTCCCGAATCCAAACACTTTTTAATCTATGTCTGCATAGTGAAAACATTCCAAGTAAATGGAAGAATTCGGTTAGAATCCTCCTCCACAAAAAAGGGGATAAATTATATCTCGAAAACTATAGGCCAATTAGTTTGCTTAACCACCTATACAAGCTCTTTACTGGAATACTGACAAACAGATTAGAAGCAAAACTCGATTTCTATAAATCAGAAGAACGCAGGATTTTGAGCGGGACACGGAACAAACTACCATTTGCAATGCCTTAAAACTCTAGTTGAAAAGTCTATCGAATATATCGAATAGACCCCTTGCTCTTATCTTTGTCCAATTTCACAAAGCATTTGACACAGTCGAAACAGTCTTAAAAGTACTATCAGAATGCAGAATAGATCACATGTATGCCAATATTATTCGAAATATATCCGAAAATGCGACAACAACCGTTACCTTCCATTGCATGACTGAGAAGAGAAAAATTGGCAGAGGGGTGCGGCAGGGAGATACCTTGTCGCCAAAACTATTTATAACAGTTATGGAGTACGCATTTAAACGGCTAAAGTGGGAATCAAAGGGTATTAGCATCGATGGAAAGATATTCAATCATCTCAGATATGCCGATGATATTGTTCTCATAACAGACAACTTAGGAGAAGCCAGAGTTATGCTACAACAACTACAGCAAGTAACAAAGAAAGTCGGTTTAAAGATAAACTATGGAAAAACAAAAATGATGACCAACCTCGTTTCCAATGAGCTAATAGAAAAAGTCGCCCATAGAACTTGTGGAAAAATATGTGTATTTGGGTTACGAAATAAGGTTAACGCGAGATAACCAAACATGCGAGCTACTCAGAAGAATAAGTCTGGGTTGGGCTGCATTCGGAAAAATTAGAGACGTATTTAAAACAAATCTACCGATCCATTTAAAAAGAAAAGCTTTTAACCAGTGCGTTCTACCAGTCCTTACATACCGAGAAGAAACCTTAACTCTCACAAAAACATCAGCCGAAAAACTGAGAAGAACACAACGAAAGATGGAGAGATCAATGCTTGAAATAAGCTTAAGAAACGAGGAAGTTCATAGACGAACCGGAGTGGAAGACATTATTAAACATATTAAAAGGCAGAAATGGAGATGGGCAGGACATGTTGCAAGAATGAAAGACGACAGTTGGACAAAAAAATTGCTTGAGTGGAGACCACGGGCTGACAAGCAAAGCCGAGGAAGAATCCCAACGCGATGGACCGACGACCTCGAAAGAATCGTGACCAATTGAATAGCAGAGGCGCAGAACAGAAGCAGAAGGAAAAATCTAGAGAAGGCCTATGTTCAACAATGAACAACTCAGGGCTGATTGATGATGATGATGAGTATCGAATTTCTCAGCTTCATGTGTTACGCTCTCTATCCATCCTAGCTTTGATCTGCCACATTTTGTTGTTTTCACCGGCTGCGCTGGTAAAATTATTTTTTTATGTTTGATTTTGTGGCCCGAGCTAGATCGACTTCCCACTTCAGAAGGTTTCGCTTAATTATAGTGGAATATCTTTTCCACAAAACTTATACCTACTTGTAGACATTTTGTAGTTTAAAGCTATATTTGTGCCTCCATATTCAATTTTGACAGACCGCACAGGATATTTTGGGTTATAGCTTTCTTGCAAAAATCGATAGCGAGTCCGGAATTGATTGTGATAGACGTTTTATCCAAAGACTTTGATAGACTATGATAACACATATTTATCATTACACTTTGTCACTTAATTATATGAACTGTTTAAAAAAAATAGCGTAGTGCGAAGATCCTTTTCAAAGTTAAACGTCCAAGCCTAAAATCTGTCTGATATTACCCTAACAACACTTCGATGTAAGGCTTTAATCTGCCATGAAAGATGTTTGATAATATCTTGTATGTGGTATCTAGAAAAATTATTCCGTGATAATTATTGCATTCTAGTTGGTTCAACGTTTTGTGCAAATTGGAATATTAAGCTCCATTCCTTAGGTATTTGTTCACTACATCAAAATTTACCAACTATTTTTTTGTATGACACTGACGATCTGCTGTCTATCGTGTTTAAATAACTCTGCTGTGATACTATCGCTGCTTTGAAATTTATGGTTTTTTCGTTTCTGTTAGATATTTTCACTTCCTTTACCAGTATTCCACAAGTTCTTCATTTTTTTAACGAATCAATTGTCATTTTTTTACATCGTTAAGGCTATGTTTACCAATATAATTTTAATATTATATCTTTTTTCCTATCTAGACGTTTATGTCTCCAATTATTATTTAATTAGGATTGCTTTCAAAGCTATCACTTGCTGTTTCGAGGTCTTCGTAGAACGAATCTTTCATTTCTTTATCTTTTTCGCATGCACGTTAAACAGTATACAATGAAAAAAATTTCTTTTATGCTAAGGACGCATAACGGATCATTTGTGGCTTTAAAATAAAAAACTGTTGCAACTCTTAAAGATATGTTCGTTTTTATACATAATGACAGGTTTCTTTCAACGTATTTCTTAAACGGCTAGAACGTGTATTCTTTATTTTATTAATTGATCCTAGAGCAACTTCCTATACGGCGTTCTTATATTTAAAGTACTAATCTTTAAGTCCTTGTCATTAGTTCTTATCCCTATACTGTAGCATATTAATTTCTCTTAAATTAAAAAATTTTGACAATTATTTATATTTTCAGTTAACTCAGTTTAAAAATTATTATTTTTATCGATTTGAATACGTCAAGTATTTGTACTTAAAAGCCTCTTTTCGTAATAAATTATGTTTGTGGCTAGAATATTCAAATTCCCCATGCCTACTTGCAATGGCATATTTAGTTGATAATTAATATTTGTCATTCTACACAAATTCGGTAATTTTTATAGTGTTTTTTAAATTTTTATCGTAAGATAAAATAAACACTTGAGATAAAGAATTGGACATTAAAGTAAAATGAAGACAAAAATAAAAAATAGCTAATGTCATATACTTCTCATATATTAGAAAAAAAGAAATTAAAGACAGTGAACTTTAACCAGTATATTTAAACGCTTAACGAGCATAATATAGAAAACCCAGCGAACAAAGGTCTAGAGTTTTTAACTCAAGTAGTAAAATTTAAAGAAAAACTCGTTGGCCTTATAAGGATGGATATTTTTAGCTAACTAGATAAATAAAAAACAAAGAGTCTAATTAATTATGTAACAGAAAAAATAAGACCTATATATAATATAATAACATACATACACTGAAATAATCTTAATAATAAAAATATAATAAAAGCTTTGTAAATAGAATCCCATAAAAGTGAATCCATTTTTTGCCGTAGATAGGTTTAATTTTTTATTTTATAATATCTACCTACTTAAATAGATTGTTAGATAGCTTACTGGTTAGTCAGATGTCACTGTATAAATAACTTATAACTAGAACGAAACAAAAAGGAAAGAGGATATTATTTTATGTCAAGTAGGAATACAGACCTTGACGAACTTAACATTGAAGACATCGCCTATTAAAATCATTGGAGAGAATATAAATGAAACATGTTAGAAAGGCTCTAAAAATCACAGATCTACAGGAGATCAGATCTTAAAATAAAATAAATAACTACTACATAAAAGTTGTGCTTCATGCCGATGTGCATCGCCTCGGTCCCATCAGTGCTTCGTACACACATACCCCCACCAAGAGTTTTTACTCGATAGACACACGATAGATGAGAAGAATTGCTACAATGATATTACTACTAATTTAAACTCCACCAAGTCTCTGGGTATTGACTGGAGGCCAACTGTTCGGAGTTTCGTCAACGTATTGATTTGATAATAACTCCACTGGCCCTAGTGTATTGACTGAGCAACCATTTTTGCTAGAGTGTTGATCTAGTGACGTACTCGTCTGGGAGTATTGATCTAAGACAGACCTATTCTTTCTTGTGACTAAGTACTGATTGGTCGCTGTCCACTTACCTTCGAACCGATTGTCGATTGGCCCGTTCCATCTTTATTTTATTAACTTCTTTGCCGCGTGTGTATTACCCGTTTAGATTTTATGAGATTAATTGTATTTTATTTTTCGCAGGTACTAAACAGTGGGATATTAAGTCGTCGGTACAGCGGTTCCTAGGATTAACGATTAAATTAAACCTGAGTTTTACTAAGTCTGTTGTCTGAAAGAGGTACACGTCACAGCATATAAGCTTACTGTACATATATATTTTAGTAGGCTACCTAGTATTATATTTATTTTTATGACAAATATTTACTGGAAGATAACATTTTATCTGATATAAAACACAAATAGATTCTTACTTTCAAATCGGCTATTATAAGCATCTGAAAACTCGTAAATATATACTGGAACATGCTTCATGGCTAATTCTGCTTGGCGAAGTATAGGTGTCGTATAGAAATTATCACTAAGATACTGAAAAAAAGGTTAAATAAATTAAGAAAGTTGTTTAAAAAAGAACGTATATTTCTAATCATATTTTAAAAATTAAATATAACTAAATATAAGGGTGATTGGTCCGGTTCTGATTAGCTGATCAATACATAACTTGAAAAGATCGCTCTTATTGTAATTTAAATTTTAAGGATTTATTTAAATATATAATCTCTTTCTCTTCAATCCTGACCCCCAGGGGGAGTGTAGTGGTCGACGTGATGTCGTGTATTGTCCGTCTCCAGAGATCTCTGTCTCTGGTCATTTCTTTTAATTCATGCATAGGTCTTTGGCATATTCCTGTAATTTGATCTATCCATCTTGTTTGGGATCTTCCTCGTGATCTTCGGCCTTCTACCTTTCCTTGTATTATGAATCTTTCCATGTTTTCTGTGTTTGCTCTCATAACATGCCCAAAATATTTTAATTGTTGGAGATGGACTTTACTAGAGAGTCGTTGGCTAACTTTTAGCTCTCTTAAAATTGAATTATTCTACGGTCGGTCCAAGGAATTCGTAACATTCGTCTCCAACAGAACATTTCAGTGGCGTCTATCTTTCTTCTCTCCGATTAGAGTCCAAGATTCACATCCGTAGGTCAGTATTGGGAATATTAACCCTCTACTTGGTAAGAGGTCCCTGAGGGTCCCTTCGCTTATTGTTTATTTAAGCCGCAGGTAAAAGTCAGGTAGCCGCAAACTGTTTTGAATCTCCCCCACTAGTTCGTCTAGAGACGTTTCAAATGCATTCTAAATTCATTAAACCTTATCGTTACATTTTTGTCTCAGTTTTCTGCGATAGGTCGAGGTGAACACAGAACAATTATCTCTCATTTAAAAATTTTTTCGACGTAAAATTATGATACTACAAATAATCTAAGTTTAGTGAAAACATTTTTTTATGAGTGGTTTAGAGCTTCAAGTTTCACTATATATTGTAGTTATTACAAAACAAGTATTCTGAGTGTGCTTTTATTTTAATCATTTTTTTTTATTTTAATAAAATTAATTCAAATGAATAAAACGCTATTTTTAACTTAAACCGGCAAGGGCCCCCTGAGGACCCCTTTACCTGTTTTTACCTGGAAGCCAAACAAAAAATTATAATTACATTTTAATAGCTTTTCTAGGTTTATTAATACATTATTAAACTTGAAAAAAATTCCCAGGTAAATAGAATAATTTTTAGAATCTTGCCAGTTAGAGGGTTAAGCAGTTGATCAACCTCATCTTTATCGCTCTTGAAATTTGACAGTCCTTCCATATTTTGGTCATTTTTGCTATGGCAAATTTTGCTAGATCACATCTACGTTTAATCTCTGCTTGTAAAATATATAATAGTAACAATCAAAAAAGAAGATAAAAGTGTAATGTAGTGTAACGAAGGTGGCAGGGACCGCTTCGTCAAGAAAATAATTCAATAATTTAATTATCCTTTAAACGCCGAGTGAGGATAATTTGATACCAACCATATTTTAATTTTTATATAAGGTTTGTAGGATATAAGTTGTATCTGTTCACGATTATAGCGAATTTGTACAGATATGAATATATTTATGAAAATACATTCATATCTGTACGTTAGCCACGTTTCGTGCAAGCCATTTAATTTATTTGGGGTTATATTTCAATTCTAAAGTAGATTCTTAGTGTATTTTTGGGTTTGTTAATGATTAGTAGTCGTATATTTGCGAGGTTATTTATAAAAAAAAAAAACTAAAAGGTAAGTGCTTTCAATAAAAATATTTGGTAAATGTTTGATACATAAATAGATGGATATGATATTTTGATTGAAACAAGAGTGAAAAAAAAAAACAAGGATAAACGGTTTGTCACACATTTGCATCAGTCGACAATTGCGTTATATAATCTGTTATTGTACATGGTTATAGACATATAGATATATTTATATCTATATATATATATACACAGGCAGTTGTGAATCCGAAATTAGAAGACGCATTCAACTAGCAAGAGCAGCAATGAGTGAACTAAACGGGGTCTGGCGTGATCGTCACATTACTATGACAAACAAAAAGAGACTCGTTTCAACTCTGGTCTTTTCCATATTTTACTATGCATGCGAGACATGGACAGTCAAAGAATCAGATCGACGACGTATAGACGCCTTTGAAATGTGGACATGGAGACGCCTGCTTCGAATTCCATGGACGGCTCGCCGTACAAATATCTCGGTTCTGGATGAAATTAAACCGGATCAGCGTCTCTCTAGTACCGTTTACTCTAGGATTTTAAAGTTGTTTGGCCATATCCATCGAAGTGATCACAAAATGGAGCGGTTGGTGGTCCAAGGAAGGCCTCAGACTCAACGCCAACGCAGAAGATCTCCACAGCGATGGGCGGACATTACTAAAAAGCTTCTCAATAAACAGTATACTGAGGCAATACATATAACTGATGACCGCGACCAGTGGAGAAATATTATCAATCAAACTGTCCGAGCTGCTGAAGCCCAATTATGAACCACAACACATCTACTAAGATGTTAATGACTGTGATGATATATATATATATATATATATATATATATATATATATATATATATATATTTTACCACAATAATAGATTTTATTTATTTTAAAATAACCCAAAATTACAGCATTTTGGGTTATTTACTCGTACACAGTACAACAGAACTTTAACTCATACAGTTGTGTACGTATTAAAGATTTTCCTGGGGGGACATATATTTTGTAAAAAATTGAGTTGTCAGACTCCCACTAAAGATATTTTTATGAACTTTGTGTGTTTTTTCTCTTTTATAGATGGTATCTACATCTACTTTCTGTAAAAGAAAATATGTTTTGAAGAAGTACGAGCGATACCAGATGACAGCGGAAACAGTTGTCTTAGTGATAGTGATAATGAAAATTATGAACCACAGCGATTACAAATATTGAAGCAGGAAGTATCAAGTTCTGAAGAGGAAGTAGACAATGCCAGTGATGAAGATGAAATATAAAGTACTTCCAAATCGAGTTCATCCAGAACTTTAAGCAATATTAGACATAAGTGGCAACTTGTTGATCCTCATAATAGCGCTAATGATACAGAGTACTCCTTTCTTGCATCTGCTTCGTCTTCAGAAAAAATAAAACTCCCAGCAAAGTATATTTAATATTTTTTTAAAAATACGATTTTGAGTAACATTATTAAACAATGTAACTTATTTGTAACTCAGCAAAATCCTAATAAACCACTAAGGTTGACACAGTCTGATCTAGAACAGTTTTTAAATTTACGATTTACATGTCTGCATTTAATCTTCCAAGGTCTTTCATGTTTTCATCAAAATCGTAATAAATTGTAAAAAATTAGACCACTAATAGAAAAACTATTAAAATCCTTCTTACAGATTCCTCAAGAGTAAATGCTCGATGTTGACGAGCAGATGATTCTGTTTAAGGGACAATCGGGAGAAGGTAATTTATTTTCGACTTGCTGAACGGAAAAGGTATCTGATCGCCCGGTAAAAAGCTATTAACAGAGAATTTATTCCACCTTGTATTTAATTATATGCTTTAAAAATCAATAACTCGCAAAAATGGATAGCGGCGATAATTACACATCCGAAGAATAATATAAGAGGAAAAGAGAATATAATGCACACTTAGAAATTTTTATTAAAGCTAAACCAATACATAAACACCACAAAAAGATATTAACCAAGAATATAAACTAGACACACTAATATTAATAGTGAAAAATCTAATGAATGAAAATGGAAAACTGTCATCCCTTTGGAGCAAATGAAAGACGAACAAAGCCAGTATAGGAAAGAAATAGAGATATAAAAAAAGACCTGTAAAGAAAGAGAACTAGAAAATACATATAAAGCAAGTACTAGACATATAGATAATTGATACGAAAGCTGAAGTAAGAAAGAGTGTGGAGACTGAAAAAACAGGAAAAAAACAAATAATGTAATTTTGCGAAGTTTTTCGATGAACACAAATAAGGCAGGAATCCTAAAAGAATAGATGAGAAACTTTATGGAAAAAGAACTAGAAATAAAGGCTAATGGCTAAATGACAAAAAATGACGTTAAGCACTATTTGAAATAGAAGCGTAAAAGAAGAATATAAAACAGTAGAAATAAGTTGCGGAGAAGTAAAATAAAGCTTAAAAACATAAAGGACTAGAGAACATTAATACATGAAATAATAAATCAAAACCCTACAAAGTCCTACAAATCAAATGACGACTAAGAAAGTGCGTTACAGGTGATAGAGAGATCGTCATCATTACTATCCATTTTCAGTCCATTGCTGAATATAGGCCTTCCGTAAATAATTACGTTGCATCCTATCTTGAACACTTTGAATCCAGTTGTGCTGAATGCAGTTGATGTCATCCGACCACCTTGTTAGAGGACGTCCTTGATTACGATAAGCATCATGTCTAGGTCTTTATTCTAAAATTTTCTTGGTAAATCTTTCATCTCTGACTTATTCTCTTTTACAAAGAAGTAAAAAGTGATTCCGTATCCAGGACCCACCCATGAAACCAAATTTTTTTCCAGTCTCTTGTCTTCTTTTCTAGTAGAATGCAACAATATCTGATAGGAATATATAATATAGTACCAGGGTGAGTTTTCAGCCCATCAGTGCATCATGACTAATTTTTAAATAAATCTAAAAATCTATTAACTAGGTGTGACTATTTTCTGATTGACCAAGTGCCAAAATGTACAACAGTAAAAAATTGAATTACAAAAAATACAGAGGAAAAACTTGCGTGTCCGACCCCACTGAAGCTGAACAGGTTAATTAAATTTATAATGATGCCAAATTTAAGACAGAAAATCAATATTTATTTATTATATTTACAACAAGCAATAAAACTTACCTGTATTAAGCTCTTTGGATCTTGTTTAAATGAATTTGTATATGAATATTTTAGTTTTCGTCCAGCTTCAACTTTATTCGCTATTCTTAATTTGTCATCTATCAAGAAATCAGGCTTAGCATCTAATTTATCGGCATTAGTTAAGACGTCTACATAATCTAAAAAGATAACAAGTCAAGCAAAATGTGTATGTATTAACATTGAGACATTATAAGCGGTAGAAAAACTTTAATTCATAAGGTAAATATTACCAAAAACTAAATTAAGGCAATACTTATTTACTGTTCGTAATTTTGTTTATCGAATATAATTTGGCAACAATTTTTACATATATACAAAATATATATATATATGTAATATATTTAAAAATTATACTTACCAGAATAGTAAACAATTTCTTCCGTTGTAAAACCAGCAACCATTGGAACTTTTATAAAGCTGCCATCAATAAATGCCTGATGCATTGGAGAGCCAATCAGAATATCTTGGTCACTATTTCCTTCTACTACTGGTAGCCAAATATTATTAAGCGATCCAATTTTTACAGGATTTTCCGTATTAAGGAATTGAGACTAAAAAAAAATTCTTTTTTCTTGGTTTACTCTTTATTTATTAAATTATTATATATTATTAATAATTAGAATTAGAATTATTAAATGCTGCGTTTGGTGAGTCCTTTTTTGCATGAGGTTGAAGCCCAGATATTAAAATTAAATACTACGAGACCACTAGAAGCCATAGAAATGTGGCTTTATCGTGGAATGCTCAGAATATTATGGAAACAACACATTCCGAATCGAACAGTATTAAATACCATAAATAGAGAGTTAGAACCATACTTTGAACCGTACCAAGGCTACATAGTGAGAAACGACAAATATAACCTACTACGAATAATAATTGAAAGAAAGAAAGAATGCCGAAGTAGAGTAGTCAGGAGAAAGATGCCATAGCTTCACCAGTATTAAAATGCAGTTAAATATTTTTGGTCTATTTAATTCATAATACACTATATAATTGACACCTCCATTAGATAATAACCAATATCAGGTACATCTCAATAATAAGCTATTACTGGATGAAACCTCCGAGAACAATATTTACGACTTAAATAATTGCATCATAAACGCTTTAAAGAAAGTCACCAAGTACATTGTCCTAAAAGAGAATCAGATGGTAGAATAAGTCCATATACTAAAACGCTGGTAGATCAAACAAGACAAATGAGAAGCAATAAGAATGCAGACAGCCACACGCTAAGGTAAATGAATAAAACTGTTTCGAAGGCAATCGGCAGACATTTAAGGTAATTTAAAACAGATACTATTAAACGTAAATGAAACGGCATGAAAATAACAGTCAAAAGTTCTACGTAGTTCTACATAGAAAGCTATTTGAAATGTGAAATTCATAGATTAAGAAAGAAGCAAAATGAAATATTATCACGTAGAGACGCATACAGCTCGTCGAAAAGTTTTACGAAGAATTAAATGGAAGAAGACGAGAAGATCAAACAGGAATACAAACATCCATTTCAAAACAGATTATGAATCAAGGTTCCAAACCATGATGTCAGAGATATAAGTAACAAAAAAATAACAAAGCACCAGGACAGTATGGAATTGTAATAGAACTATCGTAAATGGAGGAGATGCTATTAAATTAATAAAGAAAATGTTATAACTTTGGAAAACTGCGAGACACACTTAGGTCCAATATACCAATTAGCCTCAAAAGAAAAGTATTTGAGTATTACCGGTCATAACCTATGGGGCGGGAAGTATGACACCAACCAAGACTTCTTCTTCTTCTTCTTCGTCTAGCCATTCACGTCCACATCTGAACATAAGCCTCTTCAAGTCTTCCTTTCCATTGGTTTTTATTGTACGCTACTTGTAGCCAATTTTTGGCTACCAAGACTACGGCTTCGAAATTGAAAGTGGCACAGAGACGAATGGAACGGTCTAAGCTGGGAGTGACGTTGCTGGGCCAAATAAGGAACGAAGATCTGCGAAGAAGGACGAGTATTTCTGATGTTGTGGAACGCATAGTGGAACTAAAATGGAACTAGGCAGGACAGGTAGCGAGAATGCATGACTCTCGAAGGACGAACAACATTACAAATTGGAGGCCGAGAGCAGACAAACTAATAAGAGAAAGACCACCTACACGTTGTGCTGACGACATCAGGCGTATCACCAAAAATTGGCAACACAGAACACAAAATCGTAAAGAATGGAGGAGTTTAAGGGAGGCCTATGTCCAACAGTGGCGTGATAAATAAAGGCTGGATGATGATGATGATGACACTATACATACATACTATCCACACTATAAAGTGAATTATCTATAACTACTAAATAACATAAATACAACTACATAAAAAATATTAAAAGCCTTAAGCTAGCAAGATGATGCTACCGTCAAACACTAAAGATAAAGTGGATTAATAAAGTCACAATGGTGGAAGTATCACATCGTATGGAAAAAGAGACGGGAGTTATATTACTTATACAACGAAGAAAACTTAAATATTTGGACCATCTATCTGAGGACAAAATAAAAAAAGAAAAAAATGCTGCTAAAAAGATACTCAAAGCTTGGGTATACTACATAATATCAGTCCCATAAAAATGGCGTGGCAGAGTTTCAAAGCCTTAAGTAAGAGTAGATGAAGAACTGACTCCCTATTAGATATCAACGGAAGAGTGAGAAAAACATCACAAAAACTAATCTAACTGCAAAAAATCACTGCATATGCAGATTATGTACAGCTGCCGTCAATGAATATTTAAGACCTTCATTTTTATATTGTAAGATGAGATGTTAATGGATTATTTGAGAGAAGCTCCTTTTACCACAGCGCGAAAAGCTAGCGAAGATACAGCGTTTCCAGGCAGCATTCGCACTGCACGTAGAAGAATTCAAGCAAGTGAATTGGTAAATTGTGCGGCAACAAGAAAGCATTTTTGGCTGAGGATAAAAAAAAGAAACGAGTTGCATTTTGTAATGAATTCAAAAATTTCAAAGATAGCTTTTGGTCTAACGTCGTATTTTCCGATAAAAAAAGTGTTGTAATCACATAGCAATGGTCCAAGAATAATTTATAGGCCGAGAAATCGTAGGTTTGATAAACGATACAGTCATCATTTAAGAAATAGTAAAGTATTCTTGGTCAACGAACGGAAATGTGAATAACTGTGAATATGTGAATAAAAGTGCTGAATAATTGAATAAGTGCTGAAGGACCAAAATTCATAAAAAAAATGAACACGTCTAATTCGACCAACATCAAAACTAAAGAAAAAGTGACAAAATTAGCAAAATTATAAATAAAGATCACATCTTATCAACAAGCAATACTGCAGTAAAGTACAATCTAAAGGTACGATTCCGACAACGACTGCAGATGGCAGACAGCAACTACTTTGCAGTATTAATTTGTATAATACTAATTCCGACATCTGACTGCAACTGCCGCCCGACAGTTGCTGTACCGTCTGATGGCGGAGACATACTTGAACAAACAAGTAGTCTAAATCCACTAGGAAACTAAGTCCCTGTAGCTGGCTGTATACCATATATCACAAAAAATTTACAAAACGTTTTTTCATTGTTAAATCCATCATCAGTGTAAACGATGTATACATGCCATGAGTCAACAGAATATATGGGTCAAAACCCTTTAAACGTTATAAATTTACAGTTGTTTTACATTATATGAACCATATATTTTGGAGGCTCATAGCATGTATACCTCGTTTACACTGATGATGGATTTAACAATCCGAAAACGTTTTGTAATGTAATTGTGATAGCCCGTTTGGGAATTTTATTATATACCTTTTATAAAGGATTTGAAATAAATTTTTTAGTCTAAATATCCCTGTTTATTCAACTGAAAAAATGCGAATGATAAAAATTCACGTTTCGAAGAAAATACTTGGAAGGAGATCTCCAAAAACGTGAATAAAACATTTTGACCAATGCTTGATAAAAGCCTTTTTCCAGTCTAGTTTAGTACATTGACTGTGCAGGATAATACCCAAAGTAATAATACAATAACAAATGATTGTCATCTTCTTTTTCTTGCAGTAAAACTTGCAGCATTTTGTAATCCATATTCTTTATATAATACCCAACCTCAAGTTAAGATTAATTCCACAGTCAAAAGAAACCAACAGCTCACACACACCCAACCTCAAGTGTTTTATACCATCTGCAGTTGCTTTTTGTAATCGGAATCGTATCTTAAGAAGCTATATTCATCACAACATACTTTAACCATTTATAATGGTGAAATTCATGGAAAGGATCCTACAGAAGGAGGTCCCCTGAAAGAAGATATCAGTAGAAATGGGAGTAAGACTAATTTATCCTTCCTTTCAGAGCATAGAAACAGTCAACATGTAAGAAACGGATTGATAAACTGGAAACGGCATTCTCCTAAAAGGAGAACTGTCCAAGAAGAATACAAAATAGATGATCCATACATAAATTTTTACAAAACATGACACACTTAAACCCGATACGGATGGGAAATATATCACACGTATTAAATACAAAGTATTAAATTGAAATCAACAGGCAAAAAACATAGCCAGAGAAATGCCTCATGGGCCACTTTAGACAAAAATAGAACACTGAAACCTAGATGTAATGTTCATAGTTTACCAGAGATGACATTCAAAAACGGAACATAAGGAACATATGGGGCTAGTAAAGTACCACAAATGTAGTGAGGTCAATGTTTGAATGTGTATTACGGAGTGAAACAACATTCATAGCAGAGATACCAAAAATATATATTGTCTAGTTGGACAATTTAACTTTTAATTTCGTAATACACCTTCGATCTGTTCGATGATCTCGGATATTTTTTTTGTTGTGCAATTTGTTAAAAACTTATTGAAAAAACTCACCTTAACTAAAAATGAATTAGCTGACAAAAGCAGATGTTCAATTGGCGTGTCTTGCAAAATGGACAACAATTCTTCAGATTTACCTGTAAATGATGAATTTATAATTTGTCCTAGCCTATAAGCTACTTTTTGGGGTGCCGGTTGAAACTCATGATGACATAATGCCGATCCACTCATCATTATTACTCCTCTAAATAATCCTAAAACATAATAAATTTGCGGAAATACTCCACTGGATTTAAAAGCATAATTGGGATTATATTAGAGTAAATTTGATTATTAATACCACTAAAAGTTTAAATCAAAATCACGGTAATTCGCAGATAATTTTATAATGAATTTGGTTTAAATCTCTCTACTTACACCAAATTTATTTCGTCAATTATACAATAAAATAAAGCTTGCTATTATTAAATTATTAGAAATTAGAGAATTAGTATTAAAATATTTTTACGATTTAAACTGTTACATGTATTTATTAGTTTATTAGTATATATATATATATATATATATATATATATATATATATATATATATATATATATATATATATTATTGTGATATTTCAAGTCTTGGTGCGCCAAGCAATTAATTATCTAATTAATTAATTGATTAATTAAAATTATTTAAATGATATGATTATGACTCTATCACAATTTTTAATTCTTTTATCTCAGGGTTAAATTCGTGCTTCAATATCTATGCTATTACATGTGAAAGGTAAGGTCCAAAGAATACCGGAATAATAAAAAACACGTATGATCTAACACTATATATTGAAATAAAAATAATGAAATAATTCACACTCAAAAGTTTTCAATAAACAAAATCTCATATAATAATTCTCAAAATTTTGTTCTACGTACGTGAACAATCAAAATTAATGGTACAAACAATATTAGTTGAAATCTCAAAATCCAAGTATTACTCTAAATCTCCTAATCAAAATATTTATATCCTTTCTAAATTAAGTGTAAAAAATTGTGTTATCAATGAAAGAAAAACTGCAGAAAACACAACTATCTCTCTCTGATGATGAGTGGTCCAAATCCTTGTTATTTGTAGACTATACTATTTACTCGTGGCCGCTCCCTAAGTAATCAGCAATCTTACAATAAATTATTGCAAGTATCTCGTCCTTAATGATCTCCTTCAAATGCACGAATCGTTCAAATTATGCTAGCTTTTTCTTCTCTCAATAAACTGAATCTCTCGTTGGCCTTAGTGAAAAATGACTCTTGGAATATCTTTTCTTTACGATAAACTGAATCTCTCGTTGGCCTGAACAGTGACTCTTGGAATATAAGTAGAAAAATATGACTTACAATATTTTACTGGATCAGCTTCTGTCAGATACACTAACTACACGAAAACTCACAAACTTTCACTGCTACTGCTTCCTACCTCTGGGAAACTACCCGAGAACAACGGCCGTTCGCCTTGCACCCTTGGAAACCAACTGACTATCTTTTCTCCCTCAAAATTCTAGCTAAACTTTCATTCCTACATACCTATCCCACCTTTTTAAATCTCCGCCAATCAAAACTCGTCACAATTCCACATTTTTTCATTCCGATAACAAACAAATTTTTACCTATAATTATAAAATTTCCTAAAACTTATTTACAAATAATATTTTTCTATAATTCTTAAAAACTAACAAAAACCTCTTTCTAAAACCACTTCTATTGTCTTCAATCGCTGTGTTAATGTATTTGGAAAACCCGGTTCAATTGTCCTTTGGATTTCACTTAAAATTATGCGGGTCACTCAAGTATAGTATAACAAAGGAAATAATTTATGCATAGCTTACATTTTGTTTAATACAGGTAATTCAAAAATTTAAAAACTTTCTTTCTTCGAAATGTTTGTTGGTTATTATCCTACTTATCTGAATTATTTTAATGTTTTTGAACTTTGAAATATTTTAATCAAACCAATATTTTTCTCGATTTTACATATCATAACAAATCCCCGCCATTTGATCTGCCGAAAACTCTTTGTTAAATTTTAAAAATGACAAAAGTTTTCTAGGATCAAATTATTTCACTATGTTATTAAAACCCACTTATGATACTGATAAATGTCGTGAATGTTAAAATTACACCGTATATTGCCTATCTTTACATGGGATTGGATATGTTTTCGACTTAAATTTTTCCAAGTTTTAAACTTTAAAAATATGTTCATACTTTTTCTCCACTTGGCTTTTTTCAGATATTCTTATTTCTCGTGATATTTTCCATTTAGTAAATCTTGGTTTATTTTCCTCTGTTTATTTTTCAACCGTAAATAGTTGAGACATATATTTTCGAAATCTGTCCAAATTTTAAACTCATCTTCTTTGCTTTCATACCATAATGCTGCTCCTTCTTTCAGATCGTTTCTAATAGTTTCTTTGCAATCGTCAACACAATATCTAACATGTTGCAATTTTGTTTTCAAATTTTTAACAAACGGTATTGGGTGTGTTTTTCTAATATCCCCGCCAAATTGTACTTTCGCCTCGCTAGTTCCATGGATAATAACTTCTTTTCTCTCTACTCCTCTTGGTTCAATTTCTGCCATTTGTTTTTCATTTTGCTTAATTTTCCTTTCTATTTCTTTCCTGTCTTTTTGTAACGCCATTTCAATTTTTTCTTCTAACTGTTCTGATTCCATTTTCTGGACAGTCTTAATATCTTTCATTTTAGTTTCTATTTCTTCTCTCTGCATCTCTATTTCCCTCTCTTCTCTAACTTTTTTAAAACAGACTTTTTCTTCATTTTTATATTTGTCCAACCGCTTTTCCATTTTCCTATCATTTTCTTCTAATTTCTGTTCATAGTTCATTGATGCTTCATTTATTGTTTCTGAAAATTCATCTATTTTTCGTAATGTTTCTTTGTGGCTTTTATCTATTGTTTGTGAAAATTCTTGTATTAGCTGTAATGTTTCTTTATGGTTTTTCTCTATTGTTTTTGTCTGTATTTGCATCATTGCTAATAATTTTTCTAACATCCCTGTTTCTTTTCTTTCCTGCATTTTGCTTTGACTCCTTGTGGTCGACATGTTGTTTCTTTTCGTTACTGTTTTTGTCCCCGCCAAATGTGAAATTTTACAACACTATATATGTTGCAGAACACGACAATATTTCTCCCCAATTGTAATAAATTTTCACGACAAATATCAAATATGCAATCAGTAAAATTCAAATAATTCAAAATAAATATCAAATGTACGATTGGTAAAATAAAATCAAATAATTCAATAGCAGTAAATATCAACTAACTACGATCAATCAATAAATCAAATTTATATCCACTGGAAAAAAATTGTCAAAATACTTTCAAATTCAAATTCCCTCAATGTTATATGTTTTTATCTCTGGATCACCTGTACTTATTCCAGATCTCTTTCCCTTCCTTCAAATGTAAAGCTGCGATATTTTCAAGCCCCACGTTTTGGAAGCCAGTTATTGTGATATTTCAAGTTTTGGTGCGCCAAGCAATTAATTATCTAATTAATTAATTGATTAATTAAAATTATTTAAATGATATGATTATGACTCTATCACAATTTTTAATTCTTTTATCTCAGGGTTAAATTCGTGCTTCAATATCTATGCTATTACATGTGAAAGGTAAGGTCCAAAGAATACCGGAATAATAAAAAACACATATGATCTAACACTATATATTGAAATAAAAATAATGAAATAATTCACACTCAAAAGTTTTCAATAAACAAAATCTCATATAATAATTCTCAAAATTTTGTTCTACGTACGTGAACAATCAAAATTAATGGTACAAACAATATTAGTTGAAATCTCAAAATCCAAGTATTACTCTAAATCTCCTAATCAAAATATTTATATCCTTTCTAAATTAAGTGTAAAAAATTGTGTTATCAATGAAAGAAAAACTGCAGAAAACACAACTATCTCTCTCTGATGATGAGTGGTCCAAATCCTTGTTATTTGTAGACTATACTATTTACTCGTGGCCGCTCCCTAAGTAATCAGCAATCTTACAATAAATTATTGCAAGTACTCGTCCTTAATGATCTCCTTCAAATGCACAAATCGTTCAAATTATGCTAGCTTTTTCTTCTCTCAATAAACTGAATCTCTCGTTGGCCTGAGTGAAAAATGACTCTTGGAATATCTTTTCTTTACGATAAACTGAATCTCTCGTTGGCCTGAACAGTGACTCTTGGAATATAAGTAGAAAAATATGACTTACAATATTTTACTGGATTAGCTTTTGTCAGATACACTAACTACACGAAAACTCACAAACTTTCACTGCTACTGCTTCCTACCTCTGGGAAACTACCCGAGAACAACGGCCGTTCGCCTTGCACCCTTGGAAACCAACTGACTATCTTTTCTCCCTCAAAATTCTAGCTAAACTTTCATTCCTACATACCTATCCCACCTTTTTTAATCTCCGCCAATCAAAACTCGTCATAATTCCCCATTTTTTCATTCCGATAACAAACAAATTTTTACCTATAATTATAAAATTTCCTAAAACTTATTTACAAATAATATTTTTCTATAATTCTTAAAAACTAACAAAAACCTCTTTCTAAAACCTCTTCTATTGTCTTTAATCGCTGTGTTAATGTATTTGGAAAACCCGGTTCAATTGTTCTTTGGATTTCACTTGAAATTATGCGGGTCACTCAAGTATAGTATAACAAAGGAAATAATTTATGCATAGCTTACATTTTGTTTAATACAGGTAATCCAAAAATTTAAAAACTTTCTTTCTTCGAAATGTTTGTTGGTTATTATCCTACTTATCTGAATTATTTTAATGTTTTTGAACTTTGAAATATTTTAATGAAACCAATATTTTTCTCGATTTTACATATCATAACAATATATATATATATATATATATATATATATATATATATATATATATATATATATATATATATAGCAGTTCTGAGATTCTTGAACCGTAGTATATTTAATAAAATTAGTATTTCTTGCGTTTATGTTCAATCGAATATATTATTTATATATTTTTCATAGCAATTAACGTTTCGTCAAGAAACCCTTGCCTTTTTACTTTCTCTTTGTTTTAAAAGCAGGAACATGTAACTTACAAATATCTATAAGTTATCTTATAAGTATCTATAGTATAATATTTAATATTGTGATGTTTTTTACTGCTATCATTATGAATTTTTTTGTAGTTAACCGCAAATCTTCTTTTTTGATTGCTATATATTTTAGTACATCGTTAAGATTACTCTAGTATATACGAAACCTAAATACCTTTACCTTCGCTGCTACCAATATAGAATAGATCAGATGACTGGTCGATTAAAAATGAAAACGTTACTTTTGATGAAAACTGCTGAATAATTTAGGTATTGGCAAAATTTTATATAAAATGCGAATATATAACCTACCTTCATTATTTGGATCCAATAATTGATAACTAACAGAAGCTGAACCAGCGCTTTGACCACCCAATATTACTTTGTCAGGAGCTCCTCCAAATTTATCAATATTTTTTGACACCCATCTTAAAGCAAACCGTTGATCTTTTAAACCCAAATTACCAGGAATTACTCCATCTTCTGTTGACAAAAAGCCTAAAATATCCAATATTGCAGTTATTATTTACAATTTACATTCGTATATCATTCAATACACAGTACATAGGTATAATCACTTTCTTTGTAAATTTGACAATTTTTTAATACTAGCAATACTTTATTTTCATTTTAAAACGTCTTTGTATTTAAATAAATATTTAAAATAAGCAGAGATTAAAACCAATTAAGTTTAATTACAGTTAAAGAAAAGACACAAAACAGGCTCCAGTACACTCGTAATATATAAATCCATGTATTAAAAATGGTTCTCTCTAATATTACTGTCTAATCTAATCACTCGTAATATACAAAACCGTGTCCGGTCTCAGCTTTCGTGCAGGAGGAGCTCTGAACTAAGTAGGGGCTCTTCTGTACTTCTCGGAAGACAGACTGGGCGGGGGATGTCCTCAACCTCGACACGGCACGTCCCATATTGCTGATAGGGAAAGTTCCTGCAGATATGCAGGACAGGTAAGAATAAGGCATTGCCAAATAAGTACCCGCGGATCAACTGAGGATATGACATTAGGCAGCAGTAATGTCATTACTGGATTAAGGCTGTGGAAAGTAAAAATCCTGTAGGCTTAATTCCAAATACTCACAGGCGTCACTCACATTAAGAGTTAAGCAGCTGTGATACTGCGATGGGGAAGGCAACGGAAAACCATCCCATTATGGTCCCTTGTAAAGTTATCATGGAATCAATGAGTGTAACGAATACTACTGATCATGGGCTGCGGAACTCAAGATCCGGCAGGGCTTCCCAGGTTGCTAGCCAGCGAGATCCCTGTAAGCAAAACTTCACTAGACATACGATGAAAATAAAGAATCTATATAAAATGGCTACATGGAATGTAGCAACCTTATATGAAGCCGGTAAGTTGAGAAATCTACTTTCTGAAATGGACAGACTAAAAATTACTATCATGGGGCGAGTGAAACAAGATGGCCAAACAAAGGGAATTTCATTGCAGATGGTAACGCCATTTATTTTTCTGGAAATCAAGACCGTATGCATCGAAATGGAGTAGCAATAATTATCAAACAGCGCATTAATAAGTATGTCACTAACTTCATCCCAATATCAGACAGAGTAATTTTAATACAGCAGAATGCTAAATCTTTAAATATAAATATCATCCAAGTTTATGCTTCCACTGCTGACGCAGATAAGCAAAACATTAAAGAATTCTACCATCAAATAGAAGAAGTGCAAAAAATAACAAAAAAACACGAATCAGTAATAATTATGGGCGACTTTAACACTAAAGTTGGACAGAAGATAATACAGGCATTACCGGAAAGTTTTTCTTGGGAGAGAGAAATCAAAGAGGTGAACGTCTAATAGAATTCTGCCAAGAAAATAACTTCGCCATTACAAATACCTGGTTTCAACTTCCAGAAAGGCGTCTTTACACGTGGAAATTCCCTCAAGATGGACATCAAGGCAGAATAGTACAGAATCAAATAGACTACATCCTAATAAACCACCGATTTCGAAACAATATTAAAGATGTTGAAACTTACCCCGTCGCAGACATAAACTCAAATCACAATTTACTCTGCTCCAAAATACAAATTAAATTAAAGAAATTAACAAAACCAACTAAGCCTTAGAAGATATCGTGACCCCCTGAAAAACCCTCAAACGCGCGAACACATATCACAGCAAATAAATAGTCAAATACACAGAATATCAAATATACCAAACGAAAACAGAACCATTAACGAATGCTGGTATGATATTCAATACTCGATTTTAGAGAACGTACAAGAGTCTTTGAAAACAACTACCATGTTGGCAAAAAATGAGTGGATGACACAAGAAATTCTAGACCTGATGGAAGTTTGACGGCAACACAAAAATAGAAATATTATCCAATACCGTGAAATCAATAAACGCATAAAAAGAAAAATTAAGCAAGCCAAAGAATCCTGGCTTGAGAATTTATGTAAAGAAATAGAAGACCTCCAAAAAAGCATGATAGTTTCAACCTCCACAAGAAACTTAAATATACTGCCGGAATTAGAAAACAGAAAAATGCTCACATATTTAAAAGCGCGGACGAAAAATTTGTGATCACGAACAACAGTGCAAAGAATGGAAGAGATACATCACTGACATTTTTGACGATGCTTCTAGAGAAAATGCTCCAAATACTGCCTGTGACAACCAGTTAGACAGTATACTGAATTCGGAGGTCAAAAAGGCAATACAGCAAGCCAAAAACAATAAAGCACCTGGACCAGATCAAATTCCTGCTAAGCTACTTAAACTTTTGGATGAGGAAAGCATTGCCTGCTTAACCACTTTCTTCAACAAAATTTACAACGAAGGAAAATACCAGATGATTGGTTAGAGTCGCTATTTATAACATTACCAAAGAAAAGCAGACCCACCAAATGCAGCGATTTTAGACTAATCAGTTTGATGAGTCACACACTGAAGATACTCTTACGAATTATACAAAACCGAGTTTTCCTTCTATGCGAAAGTAGGATGGTGATTTGAAGCAATTTGGATTTAGAAACGGTCTAGGAACTAGAGAGGTACTATTCTGTATGCGCGTTCTATTACAAAAATGTTGTGAATTCCGAAAGAATGTTTATTTTTATTTTATCGACTTCGAGAAGGCGTTCGACATACACTTTTCGATTGCGTACGGGCAGCAGGACTTGACCACTATGATATAAGACTGCTGAAATACTTATATTACAATCAAGTAGCCTCTATCCAAATTGGAGACAGTCCGACTGAAAAACTATCCATCAAACGTGAAGTACGGCAGGGTTGTGTTTTGTCACCCACTCTTTTTAATCTGTACTCTAAAGAAATCTTTGGGGAGGTTTTGGATGACAGACAAGAGGGAGTAACTCTAGGTAAAGAAGTAATCAACAATATTAGATACGCTGACGATACAGCCATTCTTGCAGAAAGTTTACAAGATCTTCAAACATTATCAAATCTAGTCCGTAAAGCAAGTTATCGGAGAAGCCTTAAAATCAACATTTCAAAGACAAAGTGGACGGCAGTTGGAAAGATCAATATAGATCAAGGTCTGATTTCTCTTAATGAAAAAGAGATCGAAAGGCTAAATATTTCAAATGCCTTGGCAGCTGGTTAAATGTAAATTGTGACTTTGATAAAGAGATAATAATCAGGATCGCTAAATAAGTTAGAAGCATTCGAATTGTGGTGCTATAGACGAATCCTAAAGATATCGTGGGTTTCGAACACTTCCAATGAAGATGTTCTTCAAATGATTAATTCATAACGTCTGTTCATAAACACCATAAAGAGGAGAAAAACAGAATACTTCGGCCATATAATTAGAGGACCTAAATACCATCTACTTCGCCTTATATTACAAGGAAAAGTGGAAGGAAAGAGATGGATTGGTCGATGGACATTTTCACGGCTGCGTAATATTAGAGAATGGTGTGGTTCCACATCATATTAGAAGATTTATTTCGTGCAGCAGCCGATAGAGAAAGGTTTCACGGCACACAAAGAAGAAGAAGAAGATCAAAAATGGTTCTTTTCATTTTTTATTTTTACAAGTATTTTAGAGAACTTTTATGCTGTTATTTTGCTGTATAGTACGGTAAATATTATCGGTTTGAATTTTTTCTTAAATCTTTCCTGATTTCCTTCGAAACAGTTTTATTCATTTCTCTTCGAGTGTGGCTGTCTGCATTCTTTGATCTAGCAGCGTTCCCGTATATGTACTTATTGTACTATCTGATTTTATTTTAGGACAGTGCACTCGGTAACTTTCTTGTAAGGCGCTTTTGATGCAATTATTCAAGATCATTCTCGGAGGTTTCATGCAGTAGTAGCTTATTATTGATATGTGCCTGATATTGGTTGATATTTAATGGGGGTGTCCAGATACAGTGTCCTAGATTTGTTTAAATTGCATACATTTCAAATGATCACTTTTAAATTAGGTATTATACATAATAAAAAACAAAAAGCTTACCCAAGACACCTAACCTATAGTTAAAAGTTACAAGTATGATATCGTTCATAATAAAATAATCTGGCACCCAAACACTTTTTGAGCGGAATTGAAAAGCACCTCCATGAATGAAAGCAAATACTGGTAACGATTGGTTGAAATGTTTGTAATTCTAAAACAAAATTGATTATCAAAATAGGTAATTAAATTATAATAATAACTTAAATAGTCTTTTTTTTTAAATTAAATGAGAAAATCTCATTTATTGGCTGTATACCAGTTTAAAAAAACTTGCATGGAAGTAAGAACTTCTTGTGCATAATGGTATACTTTTGTAATGAGAAAAACATTTCCACATTAAAATGATAAAAAATATAAGATACAAATTTATAATCCATTTGCATAAATGATTTAGTTATGTTTGAGTAAAATTTTAATTTATGTTTATGGAATTTTAAAGGGGAAATATATTTACAGGTTTTTTCAATGATGATGTTTCGACTGGACCGAAAAAGGTTTAAAAGATCTGTAATCTCTTTGGATACATTTTTAAATTAGTTTCGAATATAAAATATACCAATAATACACAAGAAGTCCTTATTTCTATTTAAGTTTTTTTATTTTAAATATAGTTTTTATTAAATTTCTATCATTTAGTTCATTATCTCCTGTTACTGGTGAGTCATGGTTTCATAACAAATCATTTAAGTTCTCCACGATATTTTGGTATCTATATTTAGCTGCTCAATATTCACTTTGACAATATATTGTCTACCACGAATATCATTTCGACGTTAAACTTAATCAAAACATCTTAATTTACGCTCTGACACTTGCCGTTAATTGGTGCAACACAAATATTTTTGCAAATATACACAATTTTTATATTATCCTCTATTGATATTTTACTTCATTGATCAAAGTTTTACCCGTTTTGCTACATATATCCGCTATTCTGTTTTTTTTACTTCTTTACTAATTTAATCACTTCTAATTCAGATATTTTCCTTTCCATACTCGCCATTGTAACATTATATAGGTTTCTTTTAATTTTCCTGGTACTAAGTTGATTGTATATAATGGTTTTGCTTTACCTTTTATCACAGTTACTCTAACTTCCTCTTTGACGACCTTATAATTCTTGAGAAAGATATTAGACCTAAAACCGTAAAATAGTTTCGAAACACAATTCAGATTTCCGCTTTAATCTATGCTTTTTAAAACTGCAAAGCAAAACAGACGTTGATAACGAAAAGAGACTTGGGGAATCTAAAATTTGCATTCCACGACACGTCTTATCAACTAAGCAGAAATCCTTAGCGAATTGGTTTCTAGTACTCGTACAGAGTAAATCCAAAAAAAGTGAAAAGACAGCAAATATTTGATTCTACGCAAAAAGCGCCTTTGTATCTGTTGATACGTATTTCGATCTAAAAGGTCTGATCAAAACAGTTATTCAAAGGTGTTCTCAACGTAAAAGATCAATATTTTCTGTATTTTAAGAAGTAACACTAAGGCCGTCCGCACATGAAGCTACTAAAAAGAAACTAGTTGGTAACTTTAGTTACCAACCAGACGCTTATTAGTTACTGCCCATGTATTTTTATCAGTATCCGCACACAACGCTACTAGTTAGTAACCGGTCACTAATGCATCAGTGATCAGTCGACAGCAGACTGGACGTGTAAAAGGCTTGTAATGATATAGGAAGAGAATTAAATTTAACAGGAGTGTTTGTCTTTTGAATAGCAGGTACAAGCAATTGTACTAAATGTAAATAAGATTCTTTTGACATTCTGTAAAATGAAAGAAATTTAACATCACTTTTTTGTAATTCTTTTGCAGCAACAAAGGCTCTGCAATTTATAATGTTCGCAATGTAGGGATGAACCCAATACCTCCTTTTTTTCTGCATTTTACGTCTTCTATTATAATAATAAAGAATAATATCCTTATCACTTGAGTCACTAGACATTTTTAACGCGATAATAACACTCAATAATATAATATAAAGGTTAAAATTTAAACACCCTGTAACAAAGCTACTCGTACAGGCAAAAAGTGACTAGTTTCTATTAATTTTCGGTAGCGTAGTGTGCGAGTCACAGTCACTAAACAGTTGGTAATTCTAGTTACCAACTAGTTTTAGTTTCTTTTTAGTAGCTTCATGTGCAGACGGCCTTAAATGGCTTCAATACGGACGCAATAGCGACATCTGACAATAAAACCGTAAAATAGTTTCGAAACACAATTCAGATCTCCGCTTTAATCTGTGCTTTCTAAAATTGCAAAGCAAAACAGACGTTGATAAAGGTGTTAAAAGAGACGTGGGGAATCTAAAATTTGCATTCCACGACACGTCTTATCGACTAAGCAGAAATCCTTAGCGAATTGGTTTCTAGTACTCGTACAGAGTAAATCCAAAAAAAGTGAAAATACAGCAAATATTTGATTCCACGCAAAAAGCGCCTTTGTATCTGTTGATACGTATTTCGATCTAATAGGTCTGATCAGAACAGTTTTTCAAAGGTGTTCTCAACGTGAAAGATCAATATTTTCTGTATTTTAAGAAGCAACACTAAAATGGCTTCAATACGGACGCAATAGCGACATCTGACAATAAAACCGTAAAATAGTTTCGAAACACAATTCAGATTTCCGCTTTAATCTGTGCTTTCTAAAATTGCAAAGCAAAACAGACGTTGATAAAGGTGTTAAAAGATTCCCCACGTTTCTTTTAACATCTTTATCAACGTCTGTTTTGCTTTGCAATTTTAGAAAGCACAGATTAAAGCGGAAATCTGAATTGTGTTTCGAAACTATTTTACGGTTTTATTGTCAGATGTCGCTATTGCGTCCGTATTAAAGCCATTTTTGTGTTGCTTCTTAAAAGACAGAAAATATTGATCTTTCACGTTGAGAACACCTTTGAATAACTGTTCTGATGAGACCTATTAGGTCGAAATACGTATCAACAGATACAAAGGCGCTTTTTGCGTGAAATCAAATATTTGCTGTCTGTCACATTATATCAGACCTACTTTTGAGCCTCTCGTAACAGTTTACTCTTGTTTTATTTTATTGAACTTCATGTGACTACTATCAAATCTTAATTTTAAAAATATCTGCTGAACATTTTTTAGTATGTCAATTTCTGTTTTACTAATATTATATAAAATGCATGACTTAGTAACAGAATACGGACAATAATACATTTGCGCACAGAGCAATCCTTCTTGTAGGGATCCTTGCCTGTTTAGAAAACTGTACGCGGGTGTGGATTTATACTGCAAGTCTTTTTTATAATTCTTATTTGACATTTTTTTGGTACTCACAGATGTGTTACGATAATTAGTTTAGTGTACGTTTCCCAGTTCATAAAATCACGTATTTTGTATTACATCGGTAGGTACTTACTTTTGGTGTATATACGTTAAGATATAAGCAATCTTCTGTACCTACAGCACTAGGTATAGGATAAGTTACTTGAGCACATACTTGAGTATTGTCTGTAGTTTCTAATATTCCAGTCCAATTATTAGGTTCTTTTGGAAGCTAAAAGAAATAATTTCATGTAAATAAAATCTGCTTTTGTTTAATCTACAGCTGGTTCCTAAAAAAACTAATACGACTCTTAGTAAGATTTGATCGTTTTGAGTAGTGTACTTGATTGATCTGATATTACATAATATTTATTATGACAGACAAATAATTAAATAAATAAACAAACAACAAACAAACAATTACATATATTAATTCATAAATTGTAATAATTATTAAGGTCTTAATTTTGATCTTATTTTGAACTCTGAACTGCATTTTATAAAGAGTATATAAATTATAGTTTTTACATAAAATAGGGTTGTTGTTATTATTTTTATTCTTATTAAGGATTAAAACAAACGACTTAACTCAACAATAAATTAAAGCAGTAATTGTAACCAAATTAAAAGATAAGTAGGCACTATTAGAGGCAGCAAAACATTATAACTTAATCAGAACCACAGTTTTTCTACTAATAAAAAATGGGGGGAACGCGAGGGTCAGGAAGACGAAAATAATACTAAATTTAGGTATGTAAAAATAAAATCAATATTTTGTAATATCTCCATCAGCATTGATAACAGCTTGAAGTATTTGGTCCATCTGCGTTAAATGAACTGTAATACTAGCGGGTTCAAGTCCGCTGTCACCATTGAAATACGCTGTCACCACTGTAATAAGCTGTCACCACTGTAATACTAGCGGAGTTAAAATTACTGTAACCCCTGTAACATCCTCGAGTTAAACTTAAAGGATGATTATCCCTGCTAGCGGAGGCAAGGCTTACTAGTCCTACTAGTCTGAACTGGCTGGTTCGCCCTCGTGGATTTACAAGAGGGTAGGAAAATCTGGAAAAAGGGTTAAGGACTTCTAGGTCTCAGGTCCTGTAAAGAGTTGAGTCTATGGGCTTACTTAAGAAGCCGGAGAAATGCATAAGCGGAAATAGTGTACTCTTCTAGTCTCTGCCTGTAACGGCCGGGAAGGAACATTGAAACCAAATTTCGAGTCTACAAATGTAATAAATAGACTATATGCTACAATTAAGTAAACAAGCTGTCAGTTATAACCAATAAAGATTCGTTCATGCGCGAAGGGAGACGGGAAGAGACCTAAGCAAAAAATTAAAGGGTGGACAATCTGTGCTTTTATATATTACTTGGGTTAGTATATAGACTTAGTTACCTTCGCGTATTTAGGCCCTAGCTAATGAATATGCCCTTCAGTCCTACTGTAATTCAGGTTCGGTTGTGGAGGTACCGCGCTCTATCACGAACTTTCGAAACTCCAGGTACCCGACACTTATACGATACTATTATCCCGTCGAAATACAATAGCGCGATCGCCCGTGCTTGTGGCGTGGAGCCTTCGCGACGGTTCCCATCTTACTAACCCGACGATTACTGGACGCTACTGCCTCCGAGTACTCACGGTGCCGGGCAACTACTGCCCGCCGAGCACTCTCTGGCTCCGGTCGCCCGAATGCTACCGGTGCCTAGCGCTTACTGCCTCGCTTGGCCCCCTTCGTTTGTTTTTATGAGCCCGTATTCTCATTTACCGAGGTCGAGCTTTTGCTGACTCAGTACTCGTATGCTTCAACCGGGTCAGGCAGCGGTATTATTTTTCAACAACAGTCTCTGCTTAAACGTGATTTTTTTCTTTTAATCAATTGTTGCAATTGATATTGACTCGTGTAATACATTTAAACTAGGTCGAGTTATTATTCTTTGTTTAATTTGAAATGTATACGTTAGCTATGTCGAATTATTTGTTTTTTATTCAATTTGGAATATATAATAATTATATAAATAATTATTACTCTTCTCTAGGCTACTACCCCTTATTTTTTTCTTTATTTTCTTGCTATATTTACATTATAGAACTATGAAATTGTTTTCTTCATCTTCTCCAAACCGGTTGTATATCGTGTCACTGCTCTTCAGCATTTTGAGGTATAAAATTACGCCGATAGAACTATTTTATAATAACCCCCCACGCAGTCTCGATTGGGTTTAAATCTGGACTAGAGCTGGGCTATGGTAAGGTTTTCGATGTTGTTATTTTGAAGCCACTGGTTTATTATATTTGAAGTGTGAACAGGACAATTATCTTGATGAAGGATAAAATTTTTTTCTGGACACAACTGTTCTACACCGGAAAACATGATGTTTTAGAGAATATTTAGGTGAGTCTGTTCCATTCAGATAAAATCCATCCCCATACACTGACGCTAAAATAAACTCGATATCTATCAACATATATAGGATTAAATCTTTTATTATCTGGTTTACACACCACAATTTTACCCTTTTTAGAAGATTTTTAGAAAAATTTTCTTATATATAAATATTAAGTTTGCAGCTTTTAGTATTATTTTGTAGCTTATGGTTTAAGGCAAATATAAGTTTTGATTGCTTCTGTTGTGGTATAAGAGCTTGTTTTTTGCTGCAGTTCAATACCTTAGACGCCATGCTTTAGTTCTGTGCCAAGTCTTTTATCCCGGAAACTGAGATATAACTCTTGCACTTTTCCCATCTTCAAAAGGATTCACTTCTAATATCTCCAAAAGCGCAGGACCTTCATGACCGGATATTTTTGGTCTTCTAGAACCATGCTTTCTTCCGAGAGTTTCTTGTTGTATTCATCTTTTAATAATATTAAAAACTGTTATTCTGCTTCCAATAAAATGGTTTACTTTGGCAGATAGTGACCAACCATCTTCTATTTTTGGTTTAATTCTGGCTTTTAGTTCTTTGCTAGCATGTGGAGCCATTTTTTGGGTTGAACAGAGTAAGTTATCTGACAAATTTTAATATTTGACAGTGACAACGACAGTATGTAAATAATAAGTATTTATCCATAGATAAATAATATTGTTGTTGTTTGTTTGTGTTTAAATGACTGCGGACACTAAATCCATTCGCCAATCTTACAATTTGAGGTGTAGTGTGTGTGTGTGTGTGTGTGTGTGTGTGTGTGTGTGTGTGTGTGTGTGTGTGTGTGTGTGTGTGTGTGTGTGTGTGTGTGTAGAGTAATTGTCTTGATACTTAGCAAAGTCGACGTCATTGTCTTTGCTAAAAGACGCTAATTGTATCCGAACGTCTGCGGTCCCTCCGGTGTGTACCGATCACACAAGGATAGAAATTATCTTCATTTATTAATTTTTTTAATAAACGAAAATTTCCACCCAGGTGGGATTCGAACTCACGAACTTTAGGTTTAAAGGCAGGCGCTCTTACCACTGAGCCACAGAGGGGGTTAATAAATAATATAATAGTTATATTTATCCTTCAAAATACACTGCTCAATTTTCTACAAAATACGCTTTAAGAGTCGTATCAGTTTTTTTAGGAATCAGCTGTACAAATCGGCTATAATCTATACTTAGACACATGTATGTATATAAGTCTACAAATATGAGTCCATATTGCAAAAAATTTTTTAAGAAAGTATAAGCTGAAACACGTATTAAACTTATTGGGTGTTTCTTTATAGATTTATTTTGAGGTTTTCTTTTAGAAATAAATAATTGTTTTAATAATAGACTTTTTTTTATATAAATAATATTTAGAAAAACGGTAAAATCTTTTGTGTTGGTATGGTCTCCAGGTTAAAATTGATCGGTGCCATTTGTTTAGATCGCTCCTAGCTACATGTCCAGCGTATTCCCATTTTAACTTTAATGATTTTTGCACCACATCGGTGACTTTGGTTTTCTGTCTTATCCATGTGTTTGTTTTCTTGTCCTTAAGTGATATACCTAGCATTGCTCTTTCCATCGCGTGGTGAGTGACTCTAAGTATATTCATATTCTTTTTTGTGATTGTCCGTGTTTGTGCCGCATAAGTTAATATCGGAATAATGCATGCATCAAAAACTTTAGATCTAAGATGTAATTGAATTTGTTGATTTATGATTATATAGTTCAGTTTACCGAATGCTGCTCAAGCCAACATTATTTTTCTTTTTATTTCTTCAGTTTGAATTTCCCTATTTAGGTTTATTTTTTGTCCTAAGTATATATATTCTTCAACTTTTTCTAGAACTTTATCGTTTATTATTGTCACGGTGTCTTCGAAGTGCATGACTTTTGTTTTGTTTAAATTCATTTTCAGTCCTATTTTAGAAGATTCGGTATGTAGTTCTAAAAGCATGGTTTGCATTTCTTGTAGGTCAGTAGCTATCACGATTATGTCATCTGCAAATCGTAGATTACTGAGGTAGCGGCCATTTATGTTTATTCCCTTATATTTCCAATTTAGGTTTTTAAAAACGTCCTCCAAAACTAAGGTGAACAGTTTGGGTGATAAAGTATCTCCCTGTTTGACTCCCCTGTTTAATGGTACAGGGTTAGTATGTTCATTTTCATTTAAGTGGTATGTAGCTGTAGCTTGGTTCATAGTTTCTTTTATTAAGTTAATATATCTGCTGTCTATTCTACAATTTTGCATTGCGTTTATTACGGCCGTGTGTTTTATGGTATCGAAAGCTTTTTCGTAGTCTACAAATGCTAGGAAAACTGGAAACTTGTATTCGTTACATTTTTCTATTAATATTTTTGTGGTTAACAGGTGATCGGAAGTTGAATAGCCTTTTCTAAAACCTGCCTGTTCATATGGTTGGTATTCGTCTAGTTTCCTTGTTAGTCGAGTAGTTTTGACTTTGGTGAGTATTTTAAACAGATGTGACAGTAGGCTGATAGGTCTGTAGCTTGCCAATTTTCGACTATCACCTTTCTTGTGTAATAAGATTACTTTAGAGTTGTTCCAGCTCTTAGGGACTTTACCCCGATGTAAACAACAGTACAATACTTTACTTTACAATAATAAAATAAATTGACTAAATATAAGATAGTTTGGGAGACTATAGACCTGTGGTTTGTCAAGTCTCCTCAAGTCTCGTGCTACCTTAATCTGGCTTGTTGTGTTCAATTATCAAAATTAACATTTATAAACTACTCACTAATATTTCTGCCATGTAATGTTTCATTAGGTACAGCGCTGCTTAATATTATT